ATGACTTTCACACCATTCATGTTGTCGTGACATTTTCATTTCATCTGCATACTTTATGCAGTAAAGCATTGGGTTTTAAATATTACCTAGTTATTCTTGTAGGAAATCTCTAAGCTTCTAAATCCTTGCAAATATAAAATTTGGAGGTAGGAAGAAATTCATGTTAGTAGATAAAGTTATTAGTCATGTCATGTCTGCATTTATAGTTTTGCACCAATCTGTATTAAAATATAGTGCATTCTGGGTGGATGTAGTAGGTGTCTATGCAACATTATTGCTTCTGTTGATCTTTTTTCCCATCTTTCCAAGGAACTTTAGCTACATGTCTTGGCCTGCTTTTTCTGACTGTGGCCTTTTCAAGTTTTCATCTCTTGTGCCTGTTTTTTTTTTTCTTTCCTGATTTTTCCTCATTCTTGGCATTATTTTTATTTGATACAGTTTTGGTTAATATTATGCTGTACATCCTTATGCCACTTACAATGTTATTATCTACAAAATTTGACCTATAAAAATCTAGTGATGCATTTTCTCTTGTTAGCTTGATGCAACAACTGAGTCAAGAACTGGAACAAGATGAAGCTCGAAGTTTTAGACATCAAGTAGGTTCTCCTGTGGCCAGTTCCCCTCCCGGTAAATCTCTCTTAAATTCAATAATATTCTCATATGTGCAATTCTAGTTTATATAGAAAGGTATTCTCAGTTACATGCTAAGCTAAATTAATTGGCAACTTTTTGTCAGGTTGTTGGGCACAATTTGGTAGTCCAGTCGAACATCCATTAGGTTCTTATAGCAAGTCCCCTGGTATGGGTCATGCCAGTCCCATTAATACCAACCATTTGTCTGGATTGGCTGCAATTCTTTCACCACATGCAACAACTTCTACCAAGATTGCACCGATCGGCAAGGACCCTGGAAGGGCTACAAATCAGATGTTTGCAAACTCCGGATCTACACAAGGAGCAGCTTTTCAGCACTCTATATCCTTTCCTGAGAAAAATGTAAATGCAAGTCCTAGGCCTATACCTACTTTTGGCGAATCAAGTTCAAGTGCATCAAGTATTGGAACACTGTCTGGCCCTCAATTTCTTTGGGGAAGCCCAACTCCTTACTCTGAGCATTCAAACACTTCTGCCTGGTCTTCATCTTCCGTGGGGCGCCCATTTACATCCACTGTCCAGAGGCAGGGTTTCCCATATACTAGTCAGCGCAGTCCTTTTCTCAGCTCTCAGTCCCACCATCATGTAGGATCTGCTCCACCTGGCCTTCCCCTTGAAAGACATTTTAACTACTACTCTGAGTCACCTGAAGCTTCTCTCATGAGTCCTGTTGCATTCGGGAATTTAAATCATAGTGATGGGAATTTTATGGTGAACATGGGTGCTCGCGCATCTGTTGGAGCTGGTGTTGGCCTCTCAGGAAATACCACTGAAATTAGTTCACCCAATTTCAGAATGATGTCGCTGCCTAGGCATGGTTCCTTGTTCCATGGAAATAGTTCGTATTCTGGGCCAGGAGCAATAAACATTGAGGGATTAGCTGAACGTGGACGAAATAGACGACCTGACAATGGTGGGAATCAAATTGATAGTAAGAAGCTTTATCAGCTTGATCTTGACAAAATCATCAATGGTGAAGATACGAGGACTACTTTAATGATTAAAAACATCCCTAACAAGTAAGAACAATTAATCAAATATGATATGAATGTGATCAATATTTGATAAGGATGATAATGAATGCATTTCTTGATGACTTTGGCTGTTGTGATTGTGATTGCTTTTAAGGTATACTTCAAAGATGCTGCTTTCCGCCATTGATGAGAACCACCGTGGTACTTATGATTTTCTCTACTTGCCAATTGACTTCAAGGTATACACATGCTATATATCATTTTAATAAGGATTTAGGTATTTCTCCTGCTGGGATGATTTATTTCTTCTTAATTCCGGTTTTTGCTTGCAGAATAAGTGCAATGTGGGTTATGCTTTTATCAATATGGTGTCTCCTTCACACATCATCGCCTTCTTTAAGGTTTGAATTCTATACCTTTTCATGTCCGATGTCTTCTATTACTATATTTAATTTCTCATGCGCATAGTTTGTGATATATGGTCTTCCTTAATGTGATATTATATCATAAGGATAGATGTCTGTATGGAATTATCTTATTTCCTTTCATTTTGAAGGCAAATATGAATATTAGGTTGAACTTGAGAGTACTTTATTGATAGTATCTGGTAATTTGCAAGTATTAAACTTATCCTGATCTGGAGAAATATGTATATAATTAAAACGTCTACATGGAAACTTTTGTAGGCCTTTAATGGGAAAAAGTGGGAGAAGTTCAACAGCGAAAAGGTTGCTTCACTGGCATATGCACGGATACAAGGAAAGGCTGCACTTGTGATGCATTTTCAGAATTCAAGCTTAATGAATGAGGACAAACGGTGCCGGCCAATTCTCTTTCATTCAGAGGGCCAAGATACTGGTGACCAGGTAATATGATTGCAATCAGTTGCTACTACAAGTTTGCTGGGTACACATATTGGTCTTGAATCTCTTGATCCTAACATGTCATTTAAGTCTTAAAAATGATAAGTGAATTTAAAATTGAATATGATTTGTACATTCTTCACCATCAATTTTTAGTTGCAGCAATTATTAGGATGAATCATTAGACTAAGTCAAATATCAAAGATGACTATAATTTTTTTCAGTGATGGTTTGAGCTTAAGCTAGCATAAAGTTGTGTTTTCCTCCAAGACTAAATATAGAAAATGTGCCCTTAAGCTTGATATCATTTTTCACAAATTTAAGACAATAATACTAAGTTACTAACAAAGGTGGGGCAGACCTCAAGACAAATGTTCACCAAACCATAGGTTGTACGTTGAGCTTGAAGTAAATGGGTTAATTTTCATATAAGTTCTAGACTTCTCTTGGGTAAGGGGTTATTTAGTTGGACTAACTAGTAAATAAAATTCAGAAAAAAGAAAAAGTTGATGAGTCCATATTATTGGAAGTTTGAGGTTATGCATCCTACTATGTTCCTATTGAAGTTATCAGAATCTATACACTTTTTTTTTTTTAATTATCAATTTTGGAGTATCAAGTTAGGTGAAAACCTACCTGAATTGCACTATTTTCTGAGCACTGTATATTAAAATTTGCGTTGATTATCTATTTCACCTTTTGAGGATTGCTTGATTGTGATGTCACATTTAGGTTCTCAGTTCACTTTTCAATTGAAAATGAAACTGCTGAATTGTTTAACTTCACTTATTTACCACATTATTTGATCAGTTTATTCCTTTAACATATCATTTCAACGGCTTGTCTAACGATTTCTTTCTCTACTTACCATCTAGGAACATTTTCTATCCAGCAATTTGAATATATGCATTCGTCAACCGGATGGATCTTATGCAGGTGATTTGTTGGAGAGCCCGAAGGGCAATTCGGACCAGAAGCTAGAGAGAGATTAACCATTTGTTAGATATATCGTTCCTAGCCACAATAAATGGGGTCTAGGAGTGCTAACTATTGCTCAAGTGATCCTAAGGTGTACAAAGCTGATTTATCAAAAAAAAAAAAAAAAAACTGTATAAAGATGAAAGGAGCAACCCAATTATGAGGTGGTGGAGACTCCAAATATGTTGTCAATAATCATGGAAGATGCAGAGAAAGGAGTTTGTTGATGTGTAGAGAAACAATTGTTTTACAGCCAGTGAAAAAGAATAAGTTGGAGTGTATTGCTGGACGGTTAATTCCCCCTAAAGCAGCATGCATGCCAGATTGTGCAGGGTTGACTTTGTCTGGGATTTGTTATTTTTTCTTTGTTGAGGCATTTGTGGATGACTAATGTGTATATGAAAACAAAAAAATACAATTCAATTTATGGGGAAATAGTTTGTATAGATGGGGAACAAGGATCTATCCTGTTGTGTATCTATGTTGTTGTCACGTAGTGTAGCCCAACAAATGTGAATGTCTGTAAAGTTGTGGGGTTTGAACTGGTTTCTTGCCATTGCTTTTGTGCTTTGAAATATTGGAGGCTGTGTCATTTATAAGTCTGAGTCATTCTCTTATATTTATGTCTTTTCATTTCTTCAAAGATAAGCATGTAAGAATTTTTAGATAGGCAAAGGTTTCTTTAGAATTATCTGATGCAAGCCCCTGTTGGAAAATTGAAAAAGAAAATGATCGAGGAAACTAATTTGCACGATTGTATCTTTTGATGGCTTCAATTTCTGATTCCTTCTGACCGGTAATTTTAGATAGATGGATGATTTGCATTTGAACAGATCTTATTAAAAATACTATCAACACCTCCCAACATTCTTGTTAATACTCTCCTTGCTCTTGAAAGCCACAAATTTTAGTAAATTTTACAATTATATCAAGAGATTCATTATATAAGACGCAATAGACTAACAAAATTTGTGATTTTTAATAGATTTTGATCAATATTAAAGTTGATAGTGTGCTTGGATCTAGTGTTGATAAATTTATTTTAATTTTAAACATCTTGTAATTAAAAAAAGAATCATTTTATTTCTGCAGAAAAAAAAAATGTGTTGTGATAGACTTTTTCTACAAAGGGAAAGACACTTGGTGTTCAAGAGATGTGTAATGAAGAATACCGAGAAGAATTATGTGTTGTAATAGACTTTTTCTACAAAGGGAAAGACATTTAAGTCTGTCCAAGAGATGTGTAATACCGAGAAGAATCTTTTACACAATGGACAAAAACTAATATCAAGTTCCTTATATTTTTATTATCAAGTTCTATTTTTGGGGAAAAAATCGGTAATATTCTCAATGAACTGTTGGATAACAATCCATGTCATTGTGTAATTTGAAAAATTGATGACAAAAAGTATAAGGAACTTGATCCAAGTTTGTCCATCTAACTACATAAACACTAAAGAATATTTAAGAATTAACCTTTTCTACAAAAATTCTTTAGTCAGACATTTTTAAGCATGGATTCCAACAATGACTAAAATTTTGATGCCTGTTGATGAGTAAAGGTAAGATTAGATGATATGCATCCAAAGGTCTTGTACCATAGTTGACAGTCAACTCAGGTCTTAATAGTACAGTCCAGAACAGAATAAATTAAATTCCCAGGTCTCATTGTGCCAAGCTCATAGCAATGCACGAAACAAATAAAAGGATCTAATAAAAATGTTAACCAGGGATAAAATTTTTAGTTAAGAATCCCTTTTAACACAGTTCAATGTTTTCCCCTTGAATAAATTTTGCCTTTAAATTTGTAGAGCATTAGCAATAGACCCAGCTAGGCTCAATACTTCAAAAGGAGCTTTATTTTCTATAGCTTTAACAGTAAGAGGGCAAGAATCTGTGATCCAGAAATAGGCAAATGCATTCTCCAAGGCTTCTGCAAGTTAAATCAAATGGCAATAACATTCACATATGTAGAAATATGGGAATGTAGAAACTGTAAAAGTTAAATCAAATGGCAATAACATTCCCATATAGAGAAATATGAGAATGTAGAAACTGTAAAGTATGTGACATTATGTCAGCACTAACCATCTTTATGAGTGAATCGCATCCATGATTGGTTAGGGAACACGCCGTGGGTGACATAGGCACTCACCTTTGCTGCACCATGGGCTGCCAAAACTTTCTAGAGGAAGACAACAATAAAAAGAGAGAAACGTTCAGTTGCAGTGCATCTACATGCAGAAGAAACATGCCTTGATTAATTGACAAATGCAGACACAAGCATTGATAAATGATAATTGATGTATACACACATGCATTAATAGTTGACATATGCAGACACATGCACATAGAGATTAAGTGCTGCTTAGTTTAGGTTTGCACACCCAACAAAAACATTCTCATCACACTAGATGAGGTCAGCTTCAAACAAACATTTCTTTTGACATATTAAACATTTTTTTTTATTTGGAAGTTGAATAATTGACCTGACACTCAATCAGGGTGCCTCCAGATTGGACCAAATCATCAACAATGACTACATGGTGACCAGAGACGTGGCCTTCCTTGAGCCGAACTATCCTCTTGTCACCTTCACGAACTTTTGTACAAACGACCTGCCACATTAAAAAAATCAGAATATATAAAAAATATAAGTACAAATTAATAAAGGAGATAACTGAAGGAGACCCACCAATGAAAAATTATCAAACAGCTTGTGGAATCGCTTCCATGCACCATCATCTGGAAATGCAATAACTACCTGAAAATGACAATAAGAAATTCAGGCTATAAACAAAATGAATATAGCAAGCATTGGAATTTTCCATGTAATATAAAAATCCTCTGCTTTAATATTACAAGCTGATATACAGGCAAAGGAAGTGCAGCTGAAATAATGCAGAATTCTCACATTATCAGCGTCAGGAAGCTGACTCAGACGTTGCTTTAAAAGAGGAATACCAGTCTCAAACAAAGGCAAAACCTCATCTCCAAAATAAAATCTCTCCTGCATTATTTTAAATCATAAAAAAGAGTATTAAAAAAATATATAAATTAGTGTTACAACATCAAGTAGCAGTGAAGACTAAAGAGAGACAGTGATATTGCAATGTTGCAAAAAACTCAAAAAGGGTTCTACAAAAATCCATGTCCAAAAAGTTGAATGCTAAAAGAGAAAAACACAAGTTTTATTATTTTTCCATGCATAGCTTAACCATGTTTTGGATGTTGAAGTAAGTAATAGTTGAAGAAGTTGTTCATACTTCACAAAAGTTAAACATGCATCATTTGTATTCATTAAAAACTAAATATCAACAGAACATAGATTTGAAATTAAGCTAAGTTATCCATGGTCATCTGATTGAAGATCAATTAAGAATAAATTTTATTCATAATTTCATGTTCTACTTTTTTCACCCATCTAAGCCAGATTCTATCGAATGGCAACTTCACTCATTCTTTCAAGATTGCATCTTCTACTTCAATGAAGAAAAGTTCTTTGAAAGGCAACAAAACTTGATTGCAATAATGTAAACAAGCACTCATTAATTCATGCATGATCAAAGCAAGAGACAATGAAACAAAATTTCCATTAACAATTAACTGATTAAGAGTATATTGAGTAGCAATTCACAAGGACCTTAAATTAGAAAGCACAAAAGCAAAGCATAGTACTTCCTTCCAATGCATTAAATACACAAACCTGCAAGGCATGAATGTCATATATGACTAAACTAGTTGGGCCACCTCTTGAAATTGGAATATTAGACAACATCCTTGCAAGGGTGAAGGCAGTTGCTACATCTCCTTCTTCCTCCATCCGCTCAAAGGATCCAGTTGGAAAGAAAGGCAATACCAATGTGAAGGAAGCAACAAATAGACGAGGGAGTGCATATATGACAGAAAGTTGTTCAAATACATGTGCTGGAGAGCTAAAAGATGCCAAAAAAGCAACATGTTGACCTCGGAGTTCTTCTGCATTATTTATGTATAAATTTGGAAATCCATCGGCAAATGACCTGAATAAGCATAAAATTAGTCAGTTTTTTCAGTTTGTCATAAAAAGGAAAACTTCATTTATCTTGCCGTTTGTTTGTAATAATGTCATACAAGTAAAATGTGGTTTGAAGAATCAAGATCCCCAAACATAAAAAAATATGAAGCAAACAAAATAAGTCATGATATAACTGAGGTAACTGGTATTACTATAGAACAAAACTAAAGCAATTGGTAATTTGGTATAACTAAGTATCATTACAGAATAAGATTTCTAAGAAAATTAAGTCATGAAAAAGCATCAAAACATAAGCACACAACCAGAGGAAGACAATGTAATTTCTTCCAACCACATAAAAAGATAATCTAAACTAGTACTCCTCATTGGCACACATCATATCACCATCTTCAGTTTTAATATCAGCTCCATCACTAAATCAGTGTGGCCCTCGCTCCTACATTTACTACGAACCAGTTTTCTTTAGTATCTATTTCTTTGGAGCATGAGTCTTTTGCAATCAGCTTTTTTCTTTCTTGTCACATAGTATATGTTCTCATCTCTCAAGTTCTAGGTACTCCAGAAAAATCCACCCTTGCCAATGTGTCATTATTGCCACTAAAGGCAACTTCTTAGCATCATTTAAAACACCCATGTCCCCAATGCATCATTTACTATTTTAAGAAAGGAGATGGAATATATTGCAATGTATCTATCATAAGTTATAATAAGATTTAAGTGCTTGATTTGATGAAAGTTTGATCATGGAAACTTATATGCCCAATACTTTTTGGTGTGAAGCTATGGCATGAAGTTTATAAATGAACTAGAATGTCTCTTCTACTATGCCAAAGTAAACTAAACAATTCAGACAGCACAAAACCAAATTATAAAATTACATGCTCAAAAACAGTTCAATTCTCATCAAAACACCATCACACCATCTTAGTAAGTAGCAGATAGAAGGTAGTGGATACAACACGCTTCAGGTCCTTTCCATTTTCTTTTACAATTATTTATAAGGGCCAAGCAAGGCATCGAGTCAATGAGTTCTTCCCCCAACCATACCATGTTTTAGTTCCAGTCAATGTAAACTTTTAAAATTCTCCATAAAAAAATTATTTCCAGTTCCATCTTTAATCAGGAGCAGGTTCATTGATCTCAAATTAAAAAAATACAGTTTTCTAAAACTTACACTATAGCTAGAAAAGACACCACAATCAAGACCCACACTAGACCAAGGGATAAAGCATTGTGTTCGACTGCAAAATCAAATGAATTTTTCTTAGGCCATCTCCAGTGGGGTTGCTTATAAGCAACCCCACTTGCCACATCAGCATGGAAATCATTGTGTGTGTTGCTTAAAATTTACAAAAGTTGCTTATATAAGTACCAGTTCTTAAAAAAAAAGGAAAAAATGAGGCTGATGTGGCAAGTGGAGATGGCCTTAGATTCATTGATCAGCTAGTTAGTGCAAAATACTAGAAGTCTAGAATTCATGGTTCAAAGCAAATCTTTCAAATTTTTCATCAACTATCACAACTAACAATTAAAGTCTCCCAAAACCCTTGAAAACTACTGAAGTGGACATTGTAATCATTTCAATGTTACATTTGGAAGCAGTGCTTGATATCATCCCCAAATTCCAGAAACAGTTTGGCAAGTGATACTTGAAATTCATTTTATAAAGCCCCCAATAAAAAACATGCTTACATTTGGCTTAGCAATTCAAAAAAGACAAACTTCTATCCGTTCTCTATGTAGAATTTTAACTGAAAGCCAATCCAAACACGTGCTAAAAGTTAACAACTTAACATCACAAAGAAAGGCATCCAATCCAAGTTGACAAAAACAAAACACATAGAACTAAAACCCTCCCAAAAAACAATCTTTCACTAGTTTCCATGTTTCCATTAAATCCGTAACATTAAAAGAAAAAAAAAACTTAACTTTAAACAACAAGCAACAATAAAACACAAAATAGACCATGTTTGAATAACCTTCTCTATAACCACTAACCCGTAGAGTTAAAATTAACTAGTCCATGTTAAAATGCCAAACTAAATCCAGAATTGACACATCAACAAGCAAAGAACAAGTCACACACAAGACAAGGCAAGTCATTTAACAAAGGAAAAAAGGGTACCTCCATCTGATATTCTGGAGAATGATGTGGGGGGATTGAAGAGCAACCTTGTGGGCAAGGTCTTCACAGTCAAGAGAGTAGAAGAGATTCACTTGCTTCTTGGGAGACTTCACCACTGCCATTGCTCTCTCTCTAACAAAGCAAGAGCGTAGGGACTAAGCAGAAAGAGAATTTAGAGGGAACAAAAAGAAAAGCATCAACAAGAAAAGGGCAAGAAAAAAAAAAAAGAGTTTTTTATGAGTTTTTTTTTTTTGTGTGAGTCCCCAAGAAACACGGGTGAATAGGGTCAGCAACACAAGTCAACAGGTCTTATGAATGCGATGACATGTCAGATTCGGGGCTGCGCAAACGTGTGCAACATGGTGCGGTGCAACATGGTGCAAAAAATGATGCGTAGACCTTAAAATTGTCGGACCCAAATGGTAGGTCTTGTGTAGAGTGGGTTTGACTGGTTTATAATTTTCTGGTCAAAGTATGAATTATGAAATTGTTATAAGGTTTTTATTTATTTATTTATTTATTTGACCTTTATGTATATTAATTCACATAGAGTATGACCTCCCCAAAAATAAATAATATATAAAAAATAATAAATTAGAAATAATTTATAAATATAATTTTTTTAATTAAATTATACTATTAATTAAATGTATAATTTTAAATTTATTATTTAGCTCTTACTATAATTTAAATTATTTAA